ACGGCCGCCGAGATCAACAGAGCGCAGGTCGCGCGACCCTAAATCATCGCCGCCGATTGGAAACACTGCCCAGGCGGCTGCCAGTGTTTGTCGCGGCGCGTCGCGGCGCCCGCCCGCGTCAAACGGCGCTGTTTTGATGCGGCGGCTCTGGGCGGCGGGCGGCAATTGGCCCGGGCGACCCGGCTCCGCCGCGGACCCCGACCGCCTCGATGAGGGTACTTGACGACAAATGTCCCTCATCTGAGCACCAATATGCTTATTTCAATTGTAATTTGGTCGAATCAGCGCCCGCCCTCCCCAGGAATTGTCCGGACCCGTCATTTGGCCTGATCTACTAACAAGTGAGTGGGCGACCGCAAACGCGACCACCACCGGCGGCCCTCGTGAGCGCGAGAGGGCCTTTCAGCGCAAAAAAGCTGACGGATCGCTCGGACGTGCGATTGAGTGCCCCACAAAATTGTAGGTCGTAAGTTTGCGTGCGCTACTGTCATCATTTCAGCTCATTCAAAAGCGTGTAATTTAGACGTTGTTATATTAACGCAAGCAAAAAGCTCTGGAACTCTTGGCACTCTGCCAGGCCAGACAGATGGACGCCTGTGACTCACTGCCACCGAGGATTCTCCGGCAGGTGACATGGGATTACGGCACAATGGCTTATGATTAAACGGCGTCAGCACGGGGCAACACAGCAGCCAGACACATGTGCGCTGCCGAAGCTGTCGGCGCAGTGACCCATCAATACCTGCCACACGTCGGCACGGAAGGACGAGGATGACAACGCCAGGACGGGTGACAATTACTGCAAGTGCGTCACCTGAAAGGCGACTAAAAATGGGCTTTGTCCCGCCGCCAGACGGCGCCATTTGCAGCTGCGGACGAGCGTGCGGCGGACATGTCACGCGCGAGGCAGCCGTCCAAAAAGGCGGCGACGGGCGGCCGCAAAAAAGCGCGGCCTGCGCGTGCGTCGGCGTCGGCGTCGACTTTAGCGTCGGCGCCGGCGTCGGCGGCGGCGACCGCGGCGGCGTCGGTGCTGGCCTCTCCTCACGTCGGCCATTAGAGCGCCGGCCGGCCAGCGACACCAGACGCCGTTTAGGGCCTGTTCGGAGGTCTATTTGGCCGGCCATTAGAGTTCGGAAATGAGCCCGCCGGGTATCGGGCTGGGGCCGGGCCGCGGGGGCTCGGCCGCCGGCCGTAAATCAGGCCAGCGCCGCCATCATGGAGGAGACCGCGCAAAAACACACGCGCACCAGCAGCGGCCTGGCTGGCCGACCGCGACGGCCGCAAAAACCCTGCCCGATAATGGAAGTAACAGACGGATTAAAAGCAGCCAGACGGTTATAAACACCAAGAGCTCGCAACCGACAGTGCAGGCAAACTTTCTGGCAATTGGCCGCGGGAGATTGGTGATTGCGCTATCCTGTAACATGACGAGAAATGCTTGCACTGTAATAGTTGAATCATCTCATGCCAAAGATTTCCCATCGCGCTTGATGACACTGCCACCGAAGAGGAGTTCCATGCATGAATACGTTCGGCGTGCAGCCAGGAGTTCAACCGTGGCACGACGATGCGGAATGAAACAGGTTCCTCTATTTTTTTGTCCTTTGTCTTGTGCCAGGCAAAACATGACGTATTCTGCCCATATTCCAGTCACGGCAAGGCCTGTTGTGACCATGCGCTTCGTGCATGTGATCTATTAAAGTCCCCCATCAAGAAGTAGTCCGGCACAGTCTACGTAGCATTATGCAGGCGGTAGCGAAATCACAGGCCTCCTTATGCAATAAATCACATTTAAAATGCACTATTCCGTCGAAAGATCTGATTTGAATAACAATCACGAATATTCGCAGCAGCTGTGGCCCGATGAAACGATGGACTCCAGAATCATGTACAGTGACTTACCCCATCGATTAAGAATACGATAAATATTTAAAGAGCACTCTACATGACATGCGTAGTTCAGGCAGCGGTGGCACATTTGCAAATGTAGCCGGTCACCCGATCACTGGCCATCAGAACTGCCTTCCAAATTCGGCAGAACGGCAGGCAGCAGGGGGGCCATCTCGCGATCGAGGGGCTCTTCCCTCCTGCTGGCGTCCTTGCTGCGGCCCGCACAGTTGTCCGGCGAGGAACTGTCCAGTGGGGCTGTCGCCCGCCACTGCCCGCCACTGTCCGCCGCTGTCCGCCGCTGTCCGGCCTGTTCACCTTGTCTGAAGCCCCTGCCAGCGGCTCAGTAAGGGCGCCTCGCGAGGCGGCGCGCCCGGTCGATCGTGTTTAGGTAATCTCCCGCTGCCGGCCACAACACAGCCGCCCATTTAACCCCTTATCTGGCGGCCTAATTTCCTCGGCGGCCCTCATCGCGGGGCAATCTGGCACGCCAGTGTTCCATTGCGCTTCACGCGGCCCAGAGCCACGCACGAGGGGCCAGCGCCGCCGATGATACCGTAATTTGCTCCCAGATTACCCGGGCGCAAGCAATCGACGCGGCGGCGGCGGCGGGGGACCGGACGTCCCCTGGTGTGGTCAGTCAGGGACGGTCAGGGCGGCCCTTGATGTGGTCAAGCAGGGGCGCTCAGGACGGCCCCTGGTGTGGTCAGTCAAAGACGGTCAGGGCGTAGGACCCTGATGTGGTCAGCCAGGGACGGTCAGGAAGGCCCCTGGTGTGGTCAGTCAAAGATGGTCAGGGCGTACCCTGATGTAGTCAGTCAGGGACGGTCAGGGCGTACCCTGGTGTGGTCAACCAGTGACACTTATTGCCTCTGATCTCTGGCGCTGGTAAGTAATGGACGATTCCATGCCTTTGATCACGCCCTATATCCCAACTTAAACGGTTTAGCCGTTTCATCCTGACCAAACGGGCCCGGACAGACCATGGTCTGGACCGGTCGATCGCGGGCGGCGCGAGGTCCGGACGAGCCTGGCCGCGCCAGTCGCTGGTCCGGACCAGCCAGCTCCGGGCGGACCGCGGACCGCACCACCGCGCCAGGACCGCGCCAGGAACGCGCCCGCCGCGCCGGCATCTGACCGATTCGGGACGGCGGGCCAGGCTGGGCGGCTATTTGGCGATTTCTGCACGGGACGGCGGCGACTCGGGCGGATTCTGCGCATTCCGGTGTGTGGCCCTGTCACGCGGCGGTGACCCGCGAGCCGCCGCTGGCATTCGACGCGCCGTTTCGTTAGCGCGCCCGCCGCCGGCAGATTGTGCGCGCTCGGGCGCGGACGGGGAGGGGAGCTGGACCGCTGAGAATAGCCGGCGGCGTCGAGTTCCGCCCCGCGCCGACCAGAGCGTATGCAATTTCAGGCGGACCGCCGATTTTAAGAGGATAGATCGGCGACCGCCTCCCCGGAGGACGGCCGCCCCGCTCGACCCCCGCTCGTGGGAAGGGAGAGCGCGCTTCTGCGCTGCCAGGGCGACGCAGGAGACTCCTCACTGCGTGGCGAACACCGAAAGGTCGGTGGACACAGTCCTGGTGGCCAAGGCCCATCGCGAGTAACGCCCATCGCGAGTAAGGCCCATGATGAGTCAACACACAAAGCGGCCAGCGCTTTGTACTGCGCATTGCACCCCCGTGTAAAAGCAAACGCAACGGGTTTGCATTGAATGCATTGTCTCATCGGCCATTTCACCGGAGGCCGACGCGCTTTGTCGAACAGCCACCCAGGGCGCGCCTTTATTCTGAAATCGCGCTCGCCGTCAGAGAGTGCCGCACCCAGCGGGCGGCCGCGCTCGATACGCGCGCACATCATTACCAGGCGTTTATGAAAGGCCGCACATCATAATGAGCGGTACGGCCGGCGCCACGCCACTTCTCGCCGCCGCCCCCTTTGAATAAAACGTGAAAATCAATACATGAATCGGCATCTTTGTCGCGGCCGATGACGGTGCGGGCACGCGGCGTGTCATTAGCCGAAGCCGGGGCGCGCCGCCATCGGTAGACGCCGCCGCCGCCGCCAAACGCGACGCCCGGCACGCTGAATGCTTCAACGAGCAATTGCAATAAATTATGTTTGTTTTCCGAGCGTCGCCTGGCGTTGCGACCGGCAAAAAGCGGCGGATCCGGCTCGAGGACGCGCCGAGATCGCCGCCGGACTGTCGGACCATCCGCCGCCCCAACGGCCGCATCAGCATGCATAGGGTCCGGCGCGGGCCGTTATCCCATAAGCGTCCAGTTCCGAACGGCTTCGCTTTTGATGGGGATGGCCACCATTCAAATTCGACGGACTTTGGCGCCGTCGGTCACTTTGTATACGATTACAGCGCGCCAGCGGGGGGCGGCGGGTGGCGCGCGCCGCGAGCGGCACGCCGAGCGAACGGGCGCGGCGCGCTAACGAAGCAAGCCGATCCGAAAAACAGAACTGGATAGGGGCTGGTCGGCCATTACTGGCGCGCGGCGCGGCCGGCCGCCATCCGATACCATCTGACCGAGATCGTGAGCGCCCGATGCCGCGTCGTGTGGGCCGACGCGCCGCTGGCGCCGTTTTAATGACCGCCGATATCCCGTGTAAGCTTATTAGCTGAATGGCGCCGACCAATACTCTGTCAGGACAGCCCTCCTCCTTATGATTTGTGGCGCTCCACGGGCCGGAATGCGCGGCGACGCAGCCGACCTGTGACCTCGGGCGTGACCCGGCGGCGCGCCGGCCAATGGCGCGCCGGCCCGCTGACCCCGCCGCCCGGCCGCGCGACACCCATGAATAATGCAGGGCCGCGGCGCCGAGAGGCGGCCAACATTCCCGGTGCCGCCTCTCGGCCGTGTAGCAAATCTACGGCCGGTCGCCGCGCCCGTATAATATTCCGGTCGGGCCGTACGGCTAATAAAGGCTGGCCGCGGGCGCCGGCCGCGGATCAGACAGCGGGGGGCATATTGGATGTGGTTTTAACTCGGCCTTTGTTCTGCCCCGACTTAACCATTTGGGGTTTAATTGCGTGTGAAGCGCAGATTGGCGCGCTCGCGCGAGCTGCAAAAACAGCTCCGGCGCGGCCCGGTCGGCCGACTTACCAGTTGTTGACTTGAAGTATCGTCAGACCTGTGTCCTGCGCCAGCTGCTTCTTCTGGTCTTCAGACGGGTACGGGTGCTGCAACGGAACGAGCGGTGCGTCAGAGCATTGCCGGTCGGCTGCAGACGGCCGCCGTCGACCGCGACGCGACACCAAGCTGGCGCAGAGCTGGCGCAGCCGCCTGGCGCCCCGCGGAGCACGCGGCGGCTGGCGCACCCTGGCGCCGCTCTCACGAACGCCGCACAGCGCCGCTAACGCCCGACAACCACGCAAGACATCGCCATTTTGAATTAAATCACCTGACACTTTTCCCATTTGAAAGTTTGCCGTGCTATCTGGCACTTTCGGCTCACTTACGAGGTCTTAAAGGAACTCGCAGATGACTGCGGATGGGGCGCATTAAGGAAACGTTCCGACCATAGGGACCACCTCTTAAATATGCATAAAGCTAAGCAGTGTGAGCGCAGAGATGATTCTAGTGGGTCCTAAAACAAACCCAGACGGAACTGACTGTTAAAGACTGCTCGGCTGTCACTTTATGAGGGAAATTCCGAGTTTACGGGCCCTAAATGCACGCTAAAACGAAGGCATATCTCACGGAACTGTTTCAAAACAGTGAGCACATGCTCCATCGTTTATTCAGCGAGCAAACACTGCGAACTGTCAGCGTGTGCCACACTCTTGAATGAGGGCCCATAAAGCCAGCGGTATTGTATCGACAGTAGTACTACTGTGCCTCCTGTACCGCACAACGGAACTCAAAGGGCTCGACGGCTCGACCTCATCGTACAGCACGCTTGCTACGTCTCTCTCATGACATGCTCACGACGACTTCGGAACATGCTTCCCCGCTTCGCATATCTCACATGGACTCGTGTCTATTTTCAGGTTCCCCTTTCCCCAAGAATCAATGGCGCAGTTTCACAAAATAAGTTGTGGGTAGGGACTTGGTTAAAAAATGGTCAAACACCCTTGAAATGCACATAAACTGGTTTCTCCCCTCTCTTAAAAGTTGGAGCGAGGAGGGGGCGGGATGGAGACACATCTGAGAAGGAAACTACGCCTGGCTACGAGCACCAGGTCCCGACTCTCTTTTCCTAATCCCACGAAAACTCCGTCTTTGGCCATGAGTCGGCTCCCTTCTGCAGCCTGACTGGCGACTCCTCCCATGACCTCAGCCTTCTCCTGCCCTGGCGTCTTCACGAGGAGTCCTGCAGCGACCCTCTTTCCACCCTGCTCCCGAATCCTCGCGAGGACCGCTGTCACAGGCCCAGGCTGGCGCGGCCTGAGTAGCCAGTCTATTCGTGCCGCTTCCACAGAATATAAAATAACGGTGCGGGCTCGCTTCTGAATAGCAATCGACGCACGAATGTCTCCCAGGCGGCGCTAAAATATTCAGCCCTGAAGTCTTCCGATCCCACACCCTATCAATGGCTTATTTATTGTTTGGTGATATAAAATATTTCTCGCCTCCCCGGGGCACGTTTATGCCAATAAGTCAAACAGCAATATTCCGCTCCGAAAGTGCAATAGTGGCGGTCGTTTGCCGTTGCTGAATTCGAAACACGACCCCTTCCAGGGCGCGGATGAAGCTGCCCTCAGCGCGGCCCGGAGCAACCAGGCGCTGGCCAACAGCGCTGGACGAAGCTGCACCAAGCGAACCCCGCAGCCTCGCTTCCCGGCCACCGTCAGGACGCTTCAAATATTAACGAAATGCTCGTATCCAATTACTGCAGGGATCAAGTAATTGGATTTCGTCTCGGACTTGAGATTGCGCTGGAGCGAGCGCCTGGGAATAATTTGTGAGCTGGAAATCCAGTTAGCGTGGCCGCCAGCGGCCGGCGAGCGTACTCCGAGAGGAACCATCACCACCCCGTCATCCGCCGCCGTCGCTCCAGCGCCGCCATTACCTGCTGCCTCATCATGCGGTGCCGGCCACCACCGCCAGCAATGCCCCGTCAAACGTTACCACCCAACAACGTAGTCACTCGCTCATCACGTGCTGTCATCCCATCATCGCCACCGTCGTCATCATGTGCCGCCGTCCGTCAACGCCACCATCCCCCCGCCAGTGCTACCGTCCCATCACCACCATCGCGCGTCATCATGTGATGCCGTTCCATAAGCCGAGCCCCAGGACGCTGAATGGCCCATTGTATGCTAAATGGCTGTCCATCGTCACATGGCATTCGTCGGCTGTCTCGCCATCCAGGTTCAATGCACAGACTTGACGAGTAATTGATAATGCATGCAGGAATGTTGCACAGAGCGTTGCGTTGGACTGCACCGCTATATTGTGCGGAGAGTCCCAAACTCGCAGCAACCGTCGCTGAGAGACGTCTGCGTTTGGCGCCCGCAGCCCCACGCAGGGCTCCGACGCGCCGCCGCCTACGAGCGGCGAGTCTCTGACCGAGAAGCGCCGGGCAATATGACATGACTGTGGCCGCGTGGCTGTGGACGTGACCGCGACACGCAGCGCATGCCGTGTGAACATGAAGTCGAGCCTGGCCGGTGGCTGCCCCCCCCCCCCCCCGGCCGACCGTCAGCTGAGCAGCTGACCGGCTGGCCTGCCGTGCATACCGTTCGCACCACTCGACCGTCGCCAACCGCGGCTGAGTTATCGGATGTCGTGAGCGGTGGCAACATGTGTTGTCGGCCTCCGACCTTGCGCAGCAGAACGCCGCTACTGAACGCACGCGCTCGCCGCGGCATAAGGCGTCGCGTTGGCCGGATCGGTCGGTGAATCAGAAGCGGAGGAAAACGAGATTCTTTGCAAAGTACGGGCTCTCTATATTGTAATTTCAGAGTCGGTTGTGAATGCGAACTGCACCGAACTTGATATGCCGAATAAATTGACATGAGATGACAAAGCATGTTCATGCAAATCCGCCACCGATAACTGCATGATAATTCTAAATGGTCTCATGAATACAGCAGCTCAGCACGCTCCTAAACCGGCCATTCTGGCCATTCTGCTCCATTTTGGCAGGCTCGCGCGCCTAGGCCAGGCCCGGTTCGCCAGTCGTCGGCACGCGGCGGCCGACGCACTACCAGCGGCCCCGCGCGGCCGGCAAACAGCGGACCGCGGCGGCGCCCGAGCGGCGGCGCGCGCCGATTCCGGCGCTGCCATCTCGCGTAATGGCTGATAACAAAGCCGCAGGCACGACAGCGGCGCATCACGGTGCGACTGCGCCCGGCCGCGGCCGCACGCGACCCGCTCCTCCGCATTAGGCTAATTTACATGTTAAAACAGGGCGGTCCGAGCGCGTGCCCGCGCCCCCAGAGTGCGTGGCGGCGCGGCCGGCCGGCGCACGCACCGGCGCAGGCCGCAGGCGCCGCCGCCGAGCGCTGCGCCAACACGCGCGCGGCGCGCCCCCGAAACCGGAGAGCCGCGTCGGCTTATATATCAGGCGGCGATGATGAATGGCTGTTTAAAGGCCATCAGTTGTCCTGCGGTCGTGTTGATATAAGTGCGCAAAGTTTACCTCTCCGCCGCCGCAGTAGGACAGCGCCGCTAACAAACATCGACGGCAGAAACAAACACGGCTCGCATCGATGGCGACGGCCTGACGTCACTGTCCCACTGTGACGTCGCTGTCCGGCCGGGGCTTGCGCTCCAACGCCACTGCCCGCCGCAGTGACCAGCTCTGACGTCACTGCCCCGCTCCGCTCTCACTGTCCGGCTGCGGTGTCCCGCTCTGACGTCACCGCCCGGTCGCCGCGCCCCGCTCTGACGTCACTGCCCTGGTGACGATCACGTGCCAGCCGTCGGCCGGAGCCGCGCCGGCACCGCCGCCACCACACACAGCCGCCGCCGCCGCCGGCCGGCCAAAAGCGCCTATCTGCGGCCGCCGTCGTCGCGTCGCGGAAAAGAGTGAGGAGCTTCGGCGGCGCGGCTCAGGGCCGGCGGGTAAACAAGGTGCCGCGATGCGATCAGCCGGCGTGCGGCTGAGCCGGTGCGGCGGCACATTTTTTGGCGGCGCGCGGCTGACCGGGCCGGTTCGGCGGCGGCCGCGCCGGCTCGGCGGCAGGCCCGGTGTCGCCGCGGTCCTGTCGCCGCCGCGCCGACGTCGCCGCAGTGCGGTTAATTGCCAGCCCGGCCTGTGTCATTAAGGCTGGAAATTGAATAATCACAGAAATGCCGATGGACGGCGCGATACGTTCGTAATGGTCTTGTCAGCCGCGAATGGCGACTCTGCAAGCCGACGCGGAATGTCGCCGCAGCGCCACGTCAGCCGCGCACACAATCGTGCCGCAGATCGCCGCGCCGCCGCCGCAAAAGAAGAAAAAACTCGGCGGATCAACGGGCGGCCGCCGAGTCGGGAGTTTTACCGCCGCGGCGAGCGCCGGTCGACGGGTCGGTGGTCCTCGCGGCCGGCCCGAATCCGCATTCCATTTGGGCGTGCGTGATCGGCAGCGGGCAGGGCCAGCTCCCGTGCGGTCCCCAGCTGGGCCAGTATCTCCTGTGTGGTCCCCGCGGGTTCAGCATCCTCCGGTCGGTGCCCGGCTGGTCCAGCATCTTCCGTGTGATCCCCAGTTGGTCCAGCATCCTCCGGCTGGTGCCAAGTGGTCCAGCATCTCCTGTGTGGTCCCCAGTTGGTCGAGTATCTCCTGTGTGGTTATGAGCTGGTCCAGTATCTCCGGTGTGGTCCTGAGCTGGTCCAGTATCTCCAGTTGGTCCACGTCGTTGTCCACGTCCAGTGCCGTCGTCGTATCGAGCTCGGCTGCGTCCGCCCGGTCCTGCGAGGTCCTCAGGTTGGTCTGCCGGTCAGCTTCCATTGTGGGCCTCCAGGTGCCGTGTTAGAGCTGGGGTCTCGATTTGCAGGTCTCACACCATATATACAACACTACCTCGCTCCGAGAACTTCATGCCACGAATATGGGAATCATCTATTGCAATTAGATAGAGAATCAGGATTAAAATTGATTCTAAAGGTGATAAAATCATGACAAAACATCGGACCGACTTTTACGTTCTAGTTCAGTCTCAGAGCCGCATTGGGAGTGGCGCTCTAGGATTCGAATTTCAATGCGTCGTGGATCCTCTGTTCTAGCCAATGTGATTCACGGTTGAGCCGTCAGATGGTGAAGTCTCCAGCCTGGTCCACTGGCGCCCGTGTGGTCCACAGTTGGGCTCACCAGCTCCCGTAGTCCACCGGCTCCCGTGTGGTCCCCAACTCGGTCCACCAGCTCCATGGGTTCTTCGATTCGATACGCCAGCGCCCTTGTTACCCTCAGCTTGGTCCGCCAACTGTCTGGTCGAGTGTCGCCCGCCAGCTCCTGCGTTCTCAACTAAGTACGTAGGCTCTCGTGGAGTTCTCAGCCAGGTCCACCAGCTCTCATGTGTTCTGTTGCTTGACCCACCAGTTCCCAGGTGCATCTACGTCCACCAGCATCTGTGTGGTCCTCCGTGAAGCCATTACTTTTCGCGCGGTCCTCAAGTTGTTCGGCCACCTCTCGTGTCGAACTAACTTGGGTCCAGCAGTCCCGCAAGGCCCATCGTTTGTTTAGTCTCTGATGTCCCATGCGGTCCTCAGTTCTACGTCTGAGCTCCGGCATGGCCGAGCAAGTTTGGCTCATCAGTTCCCTTGGTGCCCTTAGTCTGGTGCACAAGTTCTCGCAAGGTTCTCAGTATGGTACATGGCGCTCTGTGCTGCTTTCAATGAGGTCTAGGGAGCCCACCAGCTGTCCACAGCTCGGCGGATCTCAGGATTGTTTGTGACGCTAGCCACGGCTCGGTCGATCACGGCACGATTTGTGACAGTATCCCGACTCTCGAGCTCCGCAGCCGGCCGCACCTCAGTCGATTCCAGCACTGTTTGTGACAGTATCCCGACTCTCGAGCTCCGCAGCCGGCCGCAACTCAGTCGATTCCAGCACTGTTCATGACAGTGTCCCGACTCTCAAGCCCTTTAGCTGGCCCCAGCTCAGGCGATCTCGGGACTGTTTGTGACAGCATCCCGACTCTCAAACTCCGCAGCCGGCCGCAGCTCAGTCGATTCCAGCACCGTTTGTGACAGTATCCCGACTCTCAAGCCTTTTAGCTAGCCACAGCTCAGTCGATCTCGGGACTGTTTGTGGCAGAAACCCGACTCTCGAGCTCCGCAACCGGCCGCAGCTCAGTCGATTCCAGCACTGTTTGTGACAGTGTCCTGATTCTCAAGCCCTTAAGCTGGCCACAGCTCAGTCGATCTCGGGACTGTTTGTGGCAGTAACCCGACTCTCGAACTCCTCAGCCGGCCACAGCTCAGCCATCTGTTTGTGGCAGTATCCCGACTCTCGGCCGACGTTCCAATGTCAGAAAAATGTCGAGTGTCCCACCAATAAAGGCCTGCAAAACACAGTCCAGCCACCCAGCAATGCCCATTACAGCGAAGGCCAGTCTGCCAACACGAGTACCCAATAACGCTTGTCTTAACGCTTGGACGCCTGAACGCCCCACCGACGCCGGCAGGGAGTTCAGCCTACGATGAGCACCTCCGCACAGGCGTTCCGTCCGAAGCCCAAACAGGCCTTCGAACGCTGGCCCCAGCGTCTGCAGCCTCCAGCTCCGTGATTTTCCTCCTCGCCCAAAGCCGAGCCGAGCGCAGCCGCACCACAGCGGCGGTCCAGCGGCGGCGACGGCGTGATGACGCCGCGTCCGGTCCGGCCCTCGGCCGCGCCGCGCGCCGCCGGTCCAGCGACGGCGGCCGCCGGTCCGCGCTCCCCCCGGCCGGGCATTAGTTCCAACCCATTAGGTGCCGACAGAGAGGCAGGAAGATTTCGGCGGCGGCAGGAAGTCGCTACGAGAGTCGGCTGGACCGTCGACATCTGACGTCACCCGATGACGCCGCGGCGGCGGCGGCCAGACGCGCAGATGGGAACGGAGGGGCGCCGGCGCCCCGGCCGCGTGCGTTCACTGTGACGGCGCCGCGAGGCGCCTGATGGGGGGGGGGGGGGCCCCGCACGGTCTGCGGCGTCGATGGCGTTGAAGGCGCGCAGGGAGCGGTAGGATGTTTGTCTGAGGCACCCAGAATTCGCATGGGGCGCTGCAGACTTGCCCAGAGCACCACGGTCTGTCTGGCGCAGACACTTGTATGGAGCACTCACGAACATCAAAGGACCTTGTTTCGCATCTCGCGCAATACGAACCTGGACCTTGCGTTAGGCCAGTTTGACGGTTCCGAGTCCATCGTCGCATTGTTTCATGGCACCACCGCTCCAACTGCGCATTGTTTGGACTCCAACCGTTCTGGGCCTTCGCTAGTCTGAACCACGGCAACGCTGCTCCATGCATATTCGTATCACAACAGCTCTGGTCACTGGAGATCCATTTCACAGCAGTCTTCGTCCGTACAGCGCAGCTTCCCGCGCATCCAGGCAAATGCGCCACTTGAGCATGCGCGGCCTGGACTACCCAGACACTGCTGATTCCTGCAGACCCAGACCACTGCAGCTCTGTTCGCTACAGATCCGTACCACGGCATCACTCGTCCCTGCTGATCCGGACCACAGCGGTGCTGGTCCCCGCAGCCCGGAACACAGCGGCGCTGGTCCCCACAGGCACGGACCACAGCGGCGCTGTTCGCTGCAGACCCGGACCAGAGCGGCGGCGGCAGGACGGCGCTGGTCCCCGCAGACGGCGCCGCCGGCGGCGATTAGGTCGGTCCGGCGCGGCGCGCTGCAGCGCCACGCTGTCGGGTAATCTGGTTTCCGGGGGACCAATTAGATTGGAGCCGCCACTCCCCGGAGAGTCGCTCGGTGCCGGACTGATGCGAAATTAATGGGATAAACAGGTCCGCGGGATCAAACCGTGTGCTGATGAGCACGCGGCGATCGACTGCGCCGCTCCCCCGCCCGGCTATCCGCGACCATCTCTTTGTCCGCTGTCTATCTGTCTCGTCGCTGCTTCGCACGGTTCCCTCCTCTTTGTTTTACCCCGCGTCATCCATCTTGCGGCGCATCGAGCCGCGCGGCGCGCCCGAGCGTCGGTCGGGTCGGTCTCGGCCGGTGTGGCGGCGGGCCGGCGTCGGCGCCGTCTTCGTCGCCCTCCGAGCATATTCGACAAGTCCACTGGCGCGCGACAAATTCGGCGGCGCGCGGCTCGACGGCCGCGTCGGGACGCCGCCAAATGGAGGTGCCATTGGGCGGGAAGCGAGCCGGCGCGGCACGCGAGGGGTGCGGCGAGTCGAGCGCGGCCTCGTGGAGCGGCGCCGGACGGTTGACGGGGCAGACCGAGCGCAGCGCAGCCGGGGAGCTGCCGTCGCCAGCCTGTCAGCGAGCTGCGCTGCTGGCAGCCGAACTCGGCCAGGAACCCCAGGAGGTCGACCAGCAGGAGCCAGCAGGCGCCACCAGGTTTCGTTGGACTACACCAGGGGCCATTAGACATCACTAAAACACATTAGACGCCGCCAGGTGTCCTTGAGATGCATCAAGAGCTATCTTGCTCGATCAGGAGTCTCGCGAGACCATCTAGAATCATCATAACTGATCTAGTACTATAGGCGGCCATCAGGAACTATCAGACACCGTCGACAGCTACTAAACGTTCGCGGGTGCCATCAGGAGCCGCAAGGAGTCACCAGGTGATATCAAAAGCCACCAGGCAGCATCAGCAACAGCCAGAAGCCATCTGGAGTCCTGAGATGTCGTCACGTGAACTGGGGTATTCGGAAGTCCGTCACCACTGCGACTCCATCAGCCGGCAGCGACCACCGCTGCTTACTTACCGTTAGGTGCTGAAACAGCCAGGCGCGCAGTATGTTGGTGGCGACTTTGGGGAAGATGCCCCTCTTTTTGTGGTTCTTCTTTCCCGTGTCGTCCTCCTCCTCGCCGGTGCCGTCGCCGCTGCCTATGCTGGCGTTGCTGGCGTCGCCTGTAACGGAGGAGCTCTGTCAGGACGACTTCGAGCGAAATGGCCGCCGCCGCGCGACCAGGGTCCACCTACGCCCAGTCAAACCGGTCCCTGATGCCTCTCGTAAACACTGCTAAGACACTGTTTCAGTATATAGCAACAGCAGGGCGGTCGGGATGCGCAGTCGTAGTGACACACTAGAATAGCTGCACTAAGAAGCTGGCCGTTTTTATTTTGTTTGCAGAAGTTTTACCAATCCGTTTTGACACATATTAATGTCAGACACTATTTTTCGCCGCTAGACAGCGTGTTTTTCGTCCGATAACCGTCTCCGAATGAAATCATTAGCCATGTTCAGTTCGGCCGGCTCACAGCAACGCCGGCCATGATAAAATCACCAATCAAGTGTCAGACGAGCTTGCAAAACCCGTGCGAAGGCCTGTACGATCATAGGAAAACACGGAAAACCGATCCCATCGGGGGTACAAACGATACTGTCACATCAAAGACGTGTTTTACAATTCAATCATATTAGCAGTTGGTTTGCAAGCGCCATCGGAGTGCGAGCCAAGTAAGGAGGCGGTACCTAAATGGTGTCATAAAGTCTGAGCAGCACTTCTTTCGCGATTGGCCGAAGATAACGCTTTCAAGGGCTTAACGTTATCGCGGAATGTTATGGCAAGAAGATCGAAGATGTTTCCACCATTTTTTTACGAGAATTCTGAGCTTCCTAATCGCATAATCACGAAACTCTCGATACCACCAGATGCAGTTGCGTCATACGCCGCGCGAATTTGCCATGGTCGGGAAGATAGGATTTCCTTAGCACGGCGAGCGGTTGGCCGCTGCGGTGACACTGATGGCATTGGTGATATATGAGAGCTGAATATGGCTCGGGACGGTCCGAGACATTGCAGGCCTGCACATGACGAAGACATTACCACGAAACTGCCAAAAAACTCTTCACAAGAAGACCTCCCTGTTTGAAGTTAGCGGCGGCCGCCGCGCCACGCGCCGCACACGTCTCCGCCCGTACCCGATCGCGGTGCTCCTGCGGGCGGGCCTGCCACCGGGGTCCGCTCAGAGGCCGGCGGCAGCCACCATAAAGAAGCGACGCGCATAACGTCGGCGCGTCGGCCTGTCCGGATGGGACGACAGGGAGCGCGCCGCCGCAGGTTAGTTACCAGGCCATTCCGGGTGTCGGCGGCACGCGCGGCGGTCGCGATGGATCGGTCAGGGGGGACGCTCCACCCCCCTGGCCGGCGGGGTCGGCGGCGGGGAGAGGGCGGCGGAGGCTGTCCGTTACAGCGCGGCAGGGCACGCCTGAAGGGGCTGAGCACCTGATGCGCAGGGACGCTCCTGATGCGCAGTGACGTTCCTGATGCGCAGTGATGCCCGTGCCCGGCCCGTCGCCGGGAAGGTTGTGACACGTGTGCGACCTCCCGGGGCCACCACCAAGGCAACGGAGGCTGGGTTGTTGGGGCTCCGTTCAATGTCATGGTCCGCAAACCGCACTCCAAAGAAGCAAGCCACCAACGCCCCGCATTCGTGGCGCTTGAGAAAATGGTTAGTTTATGCGCTGCCCGTCTCCCGTTACGTCCTACACGGCACAGTCAACATCAGACCGTCACACCAGGCACAACAATCAAGTGGCGTAGCCAGGATTTCGCCCAGGAGAGGTCAGATCAGGGAATAGGGGACAAGGGCTTTCAAGAGCCAAAGCGTCCCACTTCGTCGCTATAGGGGCCGTGTTTCTTGCCCGGCCAAACTGCCAAATGTGTGGGCCTAGGGAAACCACGAGCACTTTCAAGAGGACCATGACATCAAAAGCTCCCCTTGCGTACGCCACTGCAACCACCTAGCAGTGAGCTGGGACTACGTGTGCCAAAACTGAGCTACACCTGGGCAGCTGTGCAGGTCATAGCATCATCAGTGGGACCAAAGTGCATCGATTCCATCAGAGGACCTCCACTCCACAGACCGTCGTCCACCGACACCAGAGCCTGAGCGTGTCGGCCGTGCCGGCACCAGCGCCGCCTCCCGTCTCGTCGCTGGCGGCGGAGCCCCTCTCCCGACGCTGCCGGCGAGCCCTTTCCTGACGCTGGCGACGGGCCCTTTCCCGACGCTGGCGGCGGCCCTCTTCGATGCTGGGCGGCCCTTTCCCGACGCTGGCGGCGGCCCTCTTCGATGCTGGGCGGCCCCTCTCCCGACGCTGGCGACGAGCCCTCTCCCAATGCTGGCGGCGGCCCGGCCTGGCCGGCCAGACGGCCGATGGATTGGCTCAATGCTGCCTGATGAGACGTGATCGGTTTTTACCAGGTGAAAAGCACGGCGCTCGCTCCGGCAGTCATTAATTTCATAAGCCGAGCTTCGTTAGGCAGCCGCCATTACTCACGCACTCAATAGGACCAGATTGAGCACCTCCGTCGTATTTAGCCCTGTCACCCAGGCTTTTCAGCATGCTTGTCTCCTATTTTCAACGCCGATTTGGCCGATTAAAGGCAATTTTTCACCGCGGTCGGTGCACAACAAGACGTACTGTAATTATAAGTATTATCAATGCATGAAACAGGCCGGTGGCCCTGTCGTGACGTTGCACCCCGGCCGACCAAATGGCTAGCGTTACGAGGCGGATCTGCGCCGGTCAGGCCATTACGCCTCCCCTGATGAGAATAAACAACAACTCAATACAGACATCGGCCTGGCCGCCGCGCCACAATGCGCCCCGTAACGAGACATCTGCGGAGCACTCTCGCAGAAGGCGAGGCGTGTTTGGCGGCGGGCGCGCGGCGCCGCGGCCGGACGGCTGCCGCCGCGAGCCGCGAGTCAGCGGAGCGCCGGAGCCGAGGGATCGGGGTGCCGGCCGGCCCAGGTGAGCCCGGAGAGAGCCGCGGGCAGCCGGCGAGCACAGAGAGGACAGAGCGGCTGAGGACGCCGGCCAGGCCGTTAGCGGGGTCCAGCACCGCTGCTCTGGGAACGGCGCGGCGCGGCGCACAATCGCCGCGTCGCCGCCCGGAGCCCGGCGCCGGCGAGAGCGCCGCCTTTTGTGCCGACGTCGGGCCGCGATCCGTCTCAGGAGAGGCCGGCGCCGTGCGCGGCCATTACTGCCGGGAATGTGCGACCGGCGACGGCGTCGCGGCCCCGCCGGCCTCCGCTGTGACTCAGAGCTGCCGGAGCCCGCCTGGCCGCCGCCGCGGCGCCCGACCGGGACCCGCGCACGGCACGTCATGTTTTAGCCTCGCGCCCCGACCCATCAATGCCCGCACCCAATGCCATTCTACGCGGCCATAAACATTTGTAATATTTCAATAAACAGCGCCGCATTTTTCACATTTGATTATTATTTCTTCATTGCGTGGCAAAACAAACGGTTCTGGCGGCCGGGAGCGATGGCGGAGCGGGCTAGGTCGGACCCCGGCGGCGGCCCCTCGCTGCGAAGACGGATTCTTCTTCATCAAGCCGTATCAAGCGGTATTATTCTATCATTTATATTCAACTGATTGACTTTCTGATTCAATTCCGTGTCCGTAACTTCCCGGCTGCGTGGCGCGTCTGCGTTTCCAGGCGAGGCGCGTCAGCCAGACAGGTCAGGGCCGTCCAACAAATGGAGGACACGGCATGCACTGCCTCACGTGGGACACAACTGCCAGTCAAAGGAGACGGCATGCACTGCCTCACGTGGGACACAACTACCAGTCGGAGAGACGGCGTGCACCGCCGCACGTGGGATAACTGCAACCGAGAGGAGACGGTGTGCAGTGCCGCACGTGGGACACAACTGCCAGTCGGAGGAGACGGCGTGCATTGCCGCACGTGGGACACGACAACTCGTCTACGGGCCTCGAGCCCCGCTAGGTCTCGCCACCGCGGACTTTCGTGCCACCGCCGGTGAGCGTGCCTCTCGGCCCGCGCTCTCCTGATTCTCCACCTGCGCGCCAGGCACCGCCCGGCCGGCGGCCCTACCCGCAGAGCCGCTGGCGGCCGCGCGGCGGCAGTCTCCGCCGTGGCGCTGCCGGCAGGGCGTGGGGGGCCGGCGGCGGCGGAGCGTCGCCGCCCTGTCGGAGCCTGTCGGTCGCTGACGGAGCGCTGTGACAGCGCGCGGGCCATCTCACTCGCCGCCGCCGCGGCGCCGGCCGGACAAAGAGCCAAGGCCGGCCGTCCGGAGAGGGCCGCGCGGCCGGCAGGATTGGCCGGCCGGCGGCGCGGCCGACCCCCGCCGGGGCACCCCGCCGGGCAGCCGGCTGTCGGCGGTGATAGCTGCGGGGTCCCGCCGCGAGAACGGAGCCCGCCGCCGACCCAGCGCCGGCCCGCTGAGGACCCACCGGAGGCTCACCGCCAGCCCGCCGCCAACCCAGCGCCGGCCCGCTGAGGACCCACCGGCGGCCTACTGCCAGCCCGCCGCAGACCCACGGCCGACCCAAGGAGGACCCACAAACGTTCCGCCGACGACAACAGAGTCGACCCAGAGCCCTGCCGCCCCAGTCCCACTATGGCGGCTCACTGGCAAAAAGCATACGTCGGCTTTCCCTCAGACATGGCGGGCCTCAGTGAACACGGACGAGCGCCAGTACGTACGAAGGAGGAATCGCTTGACGCTTGTGGCCACCGGTGAACACTCGTGGCCACTTGTAGCCACCAAGGATCACCAACGGACACCGAGTATCAATCACTAGTGGACACAGGGCATTCATTAATGGTACGAAGAAAATCGGCTATGTCCATACCATCCGAAGAGGTTACACGACGCGGTACCCTGTGTTAGAAACATTATTTTTTTATGGGGGATCAAATACCTTGACCAAAAGGACAGGCATGGCCGACACCAATTGGCGATCATGTGACACGTGTGACACCACTCATCCAGAGTGATGAGTGGCGACGACACTCATCCAGTTTGGTGAGCGGTGACAACACTCATCCAGCAAAAAACAGGGAAAAGTTCTAAGTGGGCAAGGAACCAAAGTAGATGCACTGGCCAACAGGATATCCACGTAGATTTGTATGCAACAGAACTGCACTGG